AGGATGTTCTACAGATCCAGGTGAGTAGGGAAATCTGTCAGTTCTGTCCCATGTTGAGAAGCATCTGTACTCCAGGGACCTTTGCCCAGCCTGCCTATTGTAGGCTATGCCTGTGACACAGTGCTGCTCCTAGGCCAATGTTCTTTTTATTTTCATGAGCCCACAAGTAGAGAACCTTTATATATGTTAGTCTCTCTCCAATGTTTTTATATGCCTTGTAATTCTTATTCCTCATTCTAGCGTAGAGTCTTTGCAGGTAGAATCCACACGATGGAATGGAAGATGGCTTAACAGTAATGACTGCTACGAGGCACATACTGAGTGGTGATGCATAGGAAATGTCATGCTGCCGATGTTTCTGCCTAATGAGGAGATCCATTACAATTCAGGTTCCAAGTAAAGAATTTTCTTTTATATCAAGAAGAGTTAGATATAGTTTTTTCCATTCCAGCCAAGTGGCAGAGAATATAGACACAGGACACAAAATCTGCTGGTGAGAAGGTAGCTAGAGGGCCCATGAACAGAGAGGAGCTGCAGGTAAGTGAATGACCAGCTGTGGTCAGCTCACAGCTTAGAGGTATTGCGGATAAGGCAATACCTAAAGTCCACCCTGAGCAATTGCATGAGCAGACTGAGTTTTTTGTAAATAGCAACATAGAGCTTAATACAAAAAAGGTGCTAAGTCATCGACACAAAGGATTTTCACCTAAGCCATGCCCAGATGGCTATTTCTTAGTAAGATGGTATGAATGTGCCCTTCCAAAAGTTCGTGAATTGGAAATGGGATCCCCTGTTTATATGTGGATGGTATTTGGGGTGGGGCATTTGGGAGGTGGTTAATATCAGATGAGGTCACAAGGGGGAGCTCCCATGATGAGATCAGTGGCTTTTATAAGAAGAGGAAGAGTGAGGTCAGCGGTTGCTGGCAAATTGGGCCCGTCAGCCGTGCCTGACCGGCGCGTCTGGAGCAAGCTCAGGTTGGGTAGAGAGTAGGTGGTGGTAGTCAGGGTGGTGGGAGAAGGAGGCAGTGAATCACTTACAAATGGCGCCCAAGCAGGACCCGAAGCCCAAGTTCCAGGAGGGTGAGTGAGTACCGTGCTTTCATGGGCCTCTTCTTTATGAAGCCAAGTGTGTAAAGGTTGCCATAAAGGACAATCAAATAAAATACTTTGTACATTAAAGTGGTTGGAATAAAACTTGGGATGAATGGGTTCCGGAAAGCAGAGTACTCAAATATGTGGACACCAATCTACTGAAACAGTGAGAACTTCAAAAGGCCAATCAGGAGCAGTATGCAGAGGGAAAGATGAGAGGGGCTGCTCCAGGAAAGAAGACATACGGTCTGCAGCAGAAAAAGGTTGACATGAAAACAAAAAAGAACAAACAAAAAAACCCTGGAAATGGAGATGGTGGCAGTACCAGTGAGACACCTCAGCCTCCCGGGAAGAAGAGGCCCGGGTGGATCCTACTGTTGAAAATGAAGAAACGTTTATGAACAGAGTTGAAGTTAAAGTAAAGATCCCTGAAGAGCCAAAACTGTGGCTTGTTGATGACTGGGACATAATTCCCAGACACAAACAGCTCTTTTACCTTCCTGCCAAGAAGAATGTGGATTCCATTCTAGAGGACTGTGCGAATTATAAGGAATCTTGAGGAAACACGGATAATAAGGAGTATACTGTTAATGAGGTTGTAGCAGGGATCAAAGAATACTTTAGTGTGATGCTGGGCACTCAGCTCCTCTACAAATCTGAGAGACCACAGTACGCTGAGGTCCTTGCTGGTCACCCTGATGCACCCTTGTCGCAGTGTACGGAGCATCACATCTACTGAGATTATTTGTACGAATTGGAGCAATGTCAGCCTACACACCTCTGGATGAGAAGAGCCCTGCTTTATTACTGAATTATCTTCATGATTTCCTTAAGTATCTGGCAAAGAATTCAGCAACTTTGATTGGTGCCAGTGATTAGGAAGTGGCCCCTCCTGAGTACCATCGGAAAGCAGTGTGAGGCGCTCTCACCCGTTTGGATCTCTGTCAACATGTTTTTGTTCCTAGTCCTTCTCTTGTTCAAATGATGTACTTTGAAGATGTTAGTGTACAACAGAGTTGATGTTTGTTTTGTTAAACAGAGAAAATAAAACGAGTTGCAGCTCCTTTTTTCTTTTTTTCTTTTCATTTCAAAGTTGCTACCAGTGTATTCAATGATGGACAACAAAGAGACATGGTGTAGTGTTTTATTGCCTAGTTGACAAAGCTGCTTTTGAATGCTGGTGGTTCTATTCCTTTGACACTACACACTTTTATAATAGGTGTTAATGCTATATGACAAAATGCTCTGATTCCTAGTGCCAAAGGTCCAATTCAGTGTATATAACTGAACACACTCATCCATTTGTGCTCTTTTTTAAAAGGTGCTTAAAGACCCCATCCTTTGCAAATCATTCATGTTGTTCCTTAGACACTTTATCTTTGCTCAAATTGTTGAAGAATGGTGAATCGGTTCATGGTTTTTGTATTTGTGTCTAATGCACGTTTTAACATGACAAATGCAATGCATTGTGTAGCTACAGTTTTCTGGAAAAGTCAATCTTTTAGGAATTGTTTTACAGAGCTTCAATAATTTTTTTCTTTAAATTTAAAAAAAAGAAGAGGAAGAGAAATCTGAGCTATTAGGCTGTCTCAGCCTAGTCTTATGATGCCCTCTGTCCTGTGAGGATACAGCCAACAGACCACATGATATGCTAGCACCCTGATATTGCACCTCCAGGCAGAAAGGAGGGTGGCCTTCTGGGCTCCAGGCAGGGTGATGGGTGGACACTGCTGCAGGGATGGAGGGCTTGAAGGGTTCTCCACCAGTGAGGGCACAAACCCTGGTGTCAGGACAGACCAGGTACAGAGAAAGAAGAAGAGTTGGCTGTCCTTGCTGCCCCTCATCAAGACTCAAACCACTAAAGAGAGCCTAAAGGGTGGGTAGGAGCTAAGTTGAGGCAGAGTTTTGGGGAAAATTAGATTTAAGAGAGACAGGGAAGTTTCTAGTTGCACCTGCCAAGAGACAAGGAAACAGTTTCTACCAGATTTGCTGGGCATGGAGAGGGGTTTCCTTTTGCATTCTTTGAATGACTCTAGTACAGATGCAAAGCAGTCAGCAATTAATGATAAATATCTGAGTAGCATTTGCTTTATAGCAAAAGGTGGCTGGGCTCTGTAGGACTCATGTGTAAATTTAAGCTTCCATTGAAAGGCCAGGAAACTATGTTCCTCTCATTCATACTTGATTCTTCGTTATGATCATAAGTCTTGATTGAGAGAAACTTCCAGATATTTTTACAGATCATAGATGCTTGGGTCCTTAGTCATTTGTCATCCCACGGCTGTGAGCTCAAATGAAGGGTCAATGGCTAGAGGGAGGGTCATCCTGCACACAGGATACAAACAGTGCATGCAGGTTGGGGGTTGTGGCAGGAAGCCCTTCCCACCAAGTCACTTTCCTTGTTGCAATGTCACTAGGTTCCATGACAGAGTGGGTCCTGCGACTTCTAAGTAGCTTGGGCATATTTCTTCATTTGTCTACTTCAACGCCAGATTCCTCAATTACAAAATGGAGAAAACACTACTGCTTACCTTACAAAGAGATTAAGTGAGATGATCTCTACCTAACAGTCCACACAGTGGTTGCCACATGGTCTCACTATGTAATCCAGGCTGGCCTCAAACTCACAGCAATCCTTCCTTAGCCTCCCCAGTGCTGGGATTAGAGGGGTCCACTACCACACACAACTCTTCTCTATTCTTTTCATCACTCCAATCTCTTAGTCCTTTGGAGTTTGGACCCCTTGGCTTACACCCCCAAAGGAGGTGGCTGTTGATCATTTTGCTGAACACTTCTCCCTGGAACCCTGGGACTCCCTGCAAGAACTCTTCGGCACGCTGACCTTGGGTTATCATTGTTGGGACATCTGTCTCAGCTGCTGTACTTATTGTAATTGACTGCAGAGACAATAAGCCTTATCCACTTTGGAAACCTCTATTGCCTCTGTTCCTGATTAGGTGATAAGGATTTAATAAGTAAAGTGAGTGAATAAAGATAATAATCAAATAAATTATTCATGGCAGGCAGTGTCCTCTGTTAAACAAGACCATTGTGTGTTATAGTGACTATAGACACCTGTTCCTTGGGGAGTCCCTTGGGTGTTCTGGTTTTTACAGATCCAGGTAAGTCAGGCCCCTTGTCTGCTTCCCCTACCAGCGATTTCCATGGCTCATACCCTGGTGATTTTTGGCTTTGTGGTGTTGCTGCTGAGTCAGAGAGGGCTGACTCTGTCCTGCTGTTAGGCCTAATAGCAAAGCCCCGCTCTTTCTTCTTTTTGACACAAGGAAGCACTTGTCTGTCATATTCCTTGTGGTCATTAACTTTTAACTATTTAGGGGACATTGGGAGAGGCGTTCCCTCGGATACTTTTGGCTTTCTACTTGAAGGGGCACTTGGAAATCTCACCAGCATCCCAGGTGGAGGCCCTGGGAAGCAGAGCCTGGGCCTCAAGTCAACACCTTCTGGCACCCAGCAGATCCACCCTCCCTACACGGCTTCTCTTTGTAGACTCAGAGCTTTAAAGCCAGGTGATTCCAGGGCCCGGAGACTTGCTAATTAATCAGAGCCATGACCTTTGTAAATATTCACTTTCTGGAGTAAAAAAACCAAGTAAACTTCATTATTTCTGGAATCAGAAAAATGTGAATAATTTTTCATGTAAACAAAAACCCTTCCTCCCACCTGCAGGGGGGATCTTCGCCTTTTCATCAGCACTGAGAAAATAAAAGGTGACTGACATCATACCACACAGGGGAGGGACTTGATGGCAGTGGCCCATTCTCTTGTGTGTCATTCATGTTCTAGAACAATTCCTAACAGCTCTCATGCCAGCGTGTGAGGAGAAGCATCACTTCCTGTTTGTTGTCATACAGATACACCGAAGTGTTTGAGGGTGTGCACACGTACCCACTGGTGGAGTTCAGAAATCCTGTAGCACTTGAGAGCTGGGGCCAGTCGAGCTCATCAGTAAGAGCTGTTGGCAAATCGGAGAAGGAGTTCTGGAGAAAAAAAAAATAAAGTGTCATGATCAAAGCGATCACTTGTTTTATACAGGCAATGAGAGTGTCCATGGCCAAAGTATTATTCTCTGACTCTTTTCTCTCTCTCTTAGTGGTCCTGGGCTTTCTCCTTTTTTATTTTGAGATAGCTTCTAACCAAGTCACTAAGCAGCCTATGCTAGGCTGGAACTTCTGATCCCCCTGCCTCAGTTTCCCAGAGGGCTGGGTTTATAGGCTGAGCCATCACGCCCAGCTCTGTCTCTCTTTCTTCAAGAGCCTTTGCTTTTAAAGCACACGGCTCAAGTTTGACCTTCACCAGAGAATTCACAACATGCATCACCTCCCGTGAACCCCTTTCTGCTCCTGTAAAGCAGGCGGAATACGTGGCAGCTCACACATCTGAGAGTGGAGCTTCAGCACTCAGGTAAACCTTCCACTCTCAAACTTTCTGAGATTTTCTCCATGTTTCAGTTTAGATCGTCAGAAAGTTGATTGCCTGAAAAGTAATTACCCTGAAATATAATACCCAAGCCTCCACAAAAATGCCTCTTTAGGTTTCAGATCTACGGCCTTCATCAATAAGGTGACACCCCTTGCCTTCTGGGAGGTTGCAGACATTTCTGAGAATCTAATTATGGTTCTTTTCCCCCTCAAAGACACATGTGTACTCAGCCTGTGACTGCAGGGGGTTCACAGAGCTCCCTATGGATTGAATATGGTTTGGTCCCCCTGCAACATTCACTGGAGATTAATCCTCACCATGAGGTCTTAAGAGGTCAGAAACTTAATCTACTATGTCTCTGGAGGTGGAGGCCTTTGGGAGGTGTTAACAACAATGGAATTTATTGGAGCCATATTTCTATGACTGGTGCAAAATCACAGAAGAAAAATATGGTCAGCTATGACCTCTTTGTGTTCCTTTTATATGTGGCTTCTGGGAACGAGTTCCCCTGTGGTCTAATTTCTAGAGACAGCTTACCTAGCCTGGTGTGTTTCGGATAGGAGTGCTAGACTTTGCAAATAAAAATTTAGGCTGTTCAGTTAAATTTGGATTTCAGGAAAACAAGGAATAATTTTTAGCATTTGCGTATTTTCTGCATAAGTATAGTAAAATTTTTTATTTCTTGCTGACCTGAAATTCCAATTTAACTGGGTGTCCAGAATTTTACCTGGGAATCCCACTTTGGTTAAAACCCTAAAAGCCAGCATTCCCTTTTTGCCTTGGCTGAGCGGAAATCTTGGTGAGCAGCTGCAGGAAGATTCGGTATTTCTCCACATTAGAGATACATGCTTTCTTTGGATGAACATGAAAACCTCGGCCCTCTTTAATACTATTTTGAAGTTTGAAATCAGTTAAGGGTAGCACCTTAAGACAAATCATAGGCTCCTACTTCCTCCTCTCTTCCTCCCCCATGTTGATTCTGCTCCTATCTCTTACTGAAAATCTGACACTGAGGGGAAAGAAAAGCCACACGAATCTTTCATTAGGCCCTTGAAAATCTATGCATTGTTCTTTCTGATTAAAAAATAGTATATATCAGTCATAAAAATTCAAAAATCATAATACTTTACAATGTAGAAATGAAAGCCCCTTGTCACCTTCCCCCAAGACATGACTACGATGGAACGGCCACTGTTAACAGTGTCACAGTACCCACTGCATATAAAATCTGTCCTAGGTCTTTACACCTGGAGAAAACTCAAGTAATCTTCCCATAGAGGATGTAATCTTCCCATAGAGGATGAGAACTCAAAATAATTTTATTTCTCAATTGTAGATCGCTAAAGAGTTGAATTTTGTCCCTCCAAAAAGATATGTTGAAGTCCTAACCCCTAGTGCATCAGAGTGTGATCTTACTTGGGGACAGGTCATTGCCTATGTAATTAGTTAAGATGCGATCGCACTAGAATAGAGTGCATCCCTAATCCAAAGACTGGTCTTTACAAGAAGAGAAGGAAGAGATACAGAAACAAACACACAGGGGAAATCCATGTGATAAAGGAGGCACTGAGGAGAGCAATGCCTCAAGGAATGCCAAAGATGACCAGCAGTATCAGGAGTTAGAAGAGAGACATGGACCAAATTCTCCTTCAACCCCCTGGGAGAGGAGCCAACTCTGCTGATGTCTTGATTTTGGATTCACGGCTTTCAGGACTCTGAGATGACACATTTCTGTTGTTTCCAGCCACTACTTGTTTAGGGAGCATTAGGAAGCTAATATGTGACCTGAATTGAATTACTTGCTTGTAGTTGTTATTCAGAGGGCTGAGATATAAACTCTCCACTATGTTGATTTACTTGGTAACATAAGACAAATGACAAACGAATGAATTAAAACACAGCCATTAGCCTACGATGTCATGTGCATTTTCCATGGGTCTCTGGCTTCCTCTGCTCCTCCTTCCTTAAGTGCCTCTTCCTTCCAAATGCCAAACCCAAGATCCTCATCCTGTCCTTATCCATGTGTGGCTTCCAGCTTGGTGGGGACAGGAGGAGTGGCCAGGAAGGATGACTTCCTGGAGACTCCTGCATTCAGTATGATTTATCTTTCAAAGGAGCAGAAAGCAAACTCACTGAAAGAAACCTCCCACTGCATCTCAGAGGACCCTGGAGTTCCAAAGGCTGGTACTTTGTCATCCACTTGTGGCTGGCATCCATTGCTTCCTTCTCAAAACTCCATCATTACCATGACTCTGCTATTCTCTGTTCTGATTTTTAATTTTCCTGGCACTATGAACAAAAATTTCTTTTGCCTTTTATCTTTTATTCACCCCCTGCCATCTTTCTGCTTATAATGTGTGTTTAGTGTAGGATTTGAAGATATTCAGTTGTGCTAGGGAGGACAGGAAAAACAAACAGGATGGATGAAACTCATAAGCTGTGCTAAGCAGAGTCAGTGAGGAAGCAGGAGGGTTGTGAAATGTCAGCAGAATTTGTGCTCTGTCAGTGAGTCACCTGCACAACACTTTTAGAAGGGAAGTGAAAGGTGTACTCCTGGCCCACCCCACTCCCTCACTTTTTCCTCTGCCATCTGTGCAGTGGTGATTGAAGGCTTGGAGCTACGTTTCTGCTTGTGCACCGACAACTCTGGCTTCTGCAGGAAGGAGGTGGTCAAGACCTCTGCAGGCATAGAGATCCATGTTTAATTCCCCCTGTAGCGGGAAGTAATGGTGCAGGGGTGGGAATTCTGAGTGTGCTATCAAAGCAGGGAATGTGCCTTGCCCTGAGAACCAGAAGATCTGTCTTCTCTTTCTGATGCCACACATAGGTGTGATAAAAAATATGGCAAATATTTACATTAAAATTTATTGCAATGAAAGACACATTGCCAAGAATCCCCTTTGAAATACTTTCCTCTCGTTGAATGCAGTTATTCCACCATTCTTACCACTTTCTGAAGCAGTTCTGGAAGTCCTCTTTCATGAGTGTCTTTAATTGTGCTGTCCTGGCTGCCTCAATATCCTAAATCAATTAAAAATGTTTACCCTTCATGGTTATTTTGACTTGGGGAAGATCCAGAAGATGCACTGGGGAGATCCAGTGAACAAGGTGAATGAGGCCACACTGTAATGTTTTTATCAGCCTGCTTTTCTGTTGGATGACACTGGGCAGCAGCACGCACTGTATTTTTGATCATACCTTGTAAAGACACTCAGGAAAGAGGGCTCGCAGAACTTCTTCAGAAAGCAGCAAAAACAGTGGGATAAGCATGTTTGAAGTGAGTAGTAATGGTAATGTGTCTTTTACTGTGATAAATTTTTAAAAATTTAAACATTCATTGCATACTTTGATCACTCCTTTCACAGTTAAAACTCCATGACGCAGACACAATACCTCTGGAAATGGGTTCATACTCCATGCAACTTCCATTCTCAGGCGGCTGGTAAAGTTCTTGTCTCCAATGGGAGGGGTAGCTAGTTAAGGAAATGGTAGGCAACTGTATCTTTGGGATTGGGGTCTCTATGTCCCAGTGTTCTCCGAGTTCCATCTCTCTGAACACTCAATCTCTCTGGAAGAAATGAGTCAGTCTTAACTACTCAGGAGACCCATTTGCCACTCTCCAGCAAGCCCTAGTCAGCACTGGGATCTTTCCCATTTGGTCTTAAAATGCCATGGACAGTGCCTGGTGCTGAATCACAGCTGGGACTAGGGTGAATTTGCATTCTTAACTGTATCCCTCTAGGGGGCTACTGTAGCCTTCTAGGCCTAAGCAGACAAGCTACATAGGTTTATCACAGTGGTTTGATTAACTTCAAAGTAATACAAAGCTGTGTTTTTCTGATTGAAGTCTTAGATTCCACTTACAGTATTGCTATGAGGTTTTACTCTTTGTAGCTGTACATATCAAGGAAGATGTAGCTTTAACAGCGTCTCAGATGACTACAGGAATATTATCTGGTTCAGCAGACCAATGGGAAGATCAAGAGACACAGTGAGAAATAGGTTGAGAAGCCAGTATGCAAAGCACTGTGGCTAGGACGGACCACCTAGTGCCCCTGTCCAAGAGGACTGTCATAGGTTTAAGAGGAGGGAAATTTATTGTCAGGTAATAAAAAAGAGTTGAGCACACCAACAGCAAACTCAATAGATTTCTTCCCGTGTAAATATGGTAAAATGAAAAGTAACAGCCATTAATAGCAAACACCTTATAGACGTATCAACAAGAGAATGTTTAAGTCATTTTACATTAAACACTGAATGCCTTATTCATGCAACATTATACCCAAGATATTTCAGCCATTTAAGGCAGGAAGAATGCAAATGAAGATTTCCATCATCAACTCCTGATTATTCCTCTTGAGCATTCATGTTCCCAGGAATTCTTTTTAAGTGTGTCTTAAATGTACATACGTGGAGAGACTTAATATTTACCAAGAAAAAATTCTGCTAGTTTAACGAGTCTGAGCAACTCATGAGGGTTAGGTCAACTACTGCATTGTTTCCTATTTTTCTCTTGATTTTTATTGATAACATAAATGTATTTTATGTCATAATTGGA